AAATCCCAAGTCCCTTCTTCTTCACTGTGCTCTTCACGATCTGCTTCGGGCTGAGCACTGTCAAGGTTTCCTGGGTGTGCTGGTATGTTCTTCACCTATAGGAATTACGATATACTTGCTCCCGCCTCTATGAAATTTAAAATGCATACGTGGTTTGGCCCCAAAGTATCTACTCGCAGGAATTTCTCCCACAGAGACCTTTGCCCATATTCACACTGAGCACATACATGCTTGCCTGTTATCTTAGCGTTGTTGCATAGTGGCTGAAGATTAGAAATCTCTATCCCTTTAATTGAATCCATTTAATACATAAAGAAGGGGAGGAGGATCTCCGGGTTGACAGTAAGTCTCGCTCATGAAGTGGAAAACTATGGAACATAACAGAATGTACAGAAGGGCTCCAGAAAACAGGAGGGCAAAAAACCCTCAGGTGAGGTAATTTTTGCAGATTCTGAAAGTTCGTTTGGGAAAAGTCAAATCTCTTCTTAAAAAAGACGGTGGTAGGAGTCCTCTGTTACAAGTCTGCATTTCAGCCTCAGAGCCACTCCTGCCCTGATGGGGAAGCACAGGAATCATCCCCTCTAAAAACAAGAACAAGTTGGCCATCTCCACTTGGGTTTAAAACTTCCTTGAGGGGCGCCAGAGTGGCTCAGTCGGTTGAGCGTCTGACTCTTGATTTCAGCTCAGGTCATGACCTCAGGGTCCTGGGATCAAGTCCCGAGTCGGGCTCTGCCCTCAGTGAGGCATCTGCTTGGGGATCTCTCTCCCTCTGTTCCTCCCCCTGCTCACACGTACTCTCTCTCCTGTTCTGAAATACATAAATAAAAATCTTCAAACACGCAAACAAACTTTCTTATAGAGTTACTAGCCAATGCAGTTTGATCAGAAAAATCACAGAGTTGCGAAACTCTGAAAAAGAATAGGAAAAGTTATTCGTGGTTGGAGAAGCTCCTGGGCACGTGAACATGACCCCAGAAACTCCTAAAAGTAACTGAGAAACTCCTGTATCCTGTAGGAGGTGGTAGGAAGGAACAGAGCATAAAATTAACAGAAACTAGTAGCTTTTTAATGAAAACCACCTGGAAGACAAGAAATGGGAGGAGAGATGGCAGTAAAAGAGGCAGGATTTAAGAAGTTTAGTAAGTGTCTCATGGACCGGGCTGGAAGGACACATGACAGGGCCCCGGAGAGACGCGGCCAACAGCCAGGTAGAAGGCTTGTCCACAGTTCCAACATCGTCTGTGTCATACATAAAGTTAAAGACCAGACAGCCTGCTGGGTGTGGCGGATGCTTGGGACGGGCTCGTCCTAAGGTCAGGTGTGGAGGGATGCCCTGACCTCTCTGCCCCTTGCCCCCCAGACAAAAGCCTTCATCCACCACGAGCTGCTGGCCTACCTGTACTCCTCGGCGGACCAGAGCAGCCTCATGGAGGAGTCAGCTGACCAGGCCCAGCGGCGGGACGACATGCTACGCATGTACCACGCGCTCAAGGAGGCCCTCAACATCATCGGGGACATCAGCACCAGCACCGTGTCCACGCCCGTGCCGCCGCCGGTCGATGACACCTGGCTCCAGAGCGCCGCCAGCCACAGGTCCGAGAGGCTGGGGCGCCTGGAGTCTGCGGAGGCCACTTTCCCGCGAGTCCCCGGCTCTCCCAATGTGGCCTGCCAGGCCCCAGCCCCGGGGGTGGCTGGGGTGAGGGGACCTAGTCACAGTGGGAGCTGCTGCCCGGCCTGGGCCTGAAGGACAAGGAGAGAGAAGGGTTGGCCGGAAGGCCCGTCTGACTCCTGGTGTTTTCCATCCGTTAAGCCCAAGTAGAAGCCAGAGAGGGCGAGAGGCCAGGGCAGCAGGGGCCCTGGGGTCATGGTCCTGGAGCACAGAGCGCAGGCAAGAACGGCTGGTTGGGGGGGATCTGCACAAGCAGCTGGAGGGCATGACTGGCCTGTCCCCTGCCCCCTCAGCCACCTCCGAGCTGTTGGAGGACATACTCTGGCAGGGGCAGTGCAGAGCCTCAGACTTGGACACCTAACCAGTGACAGGGCAGGTGGCTAGAGCACAGAGGGTCAGTCAGGGGAATCTCCTAGAAGGTGTCAGCCCTGCCAAGGCCTCAATGAGCCATGGAGTTACTTAGGAAGACGGAACAGCAGGCGCTCCAGCCCAGGGGGAAGCCTGTGGGGTGCCCAGGGCAGGGTTGGAGGCACTGGACTTGATTTGGAGTCAAAGCTGGGCTCTGGAAGGATTTCTGCTTAATGAGGGTGGATTGGAGGAAGCAGGAAGCAGACAGCCCAGAATAGGACTGGTGAGACAGAAGTGGCCCTAGGAGCGAGGTCAGAGAGAAGTAGGAGCCCCTGGTGGCCAAGGAGAGGTACTGGCAGGCCCTGGCTGGAGTTTTAGCTGGGGGCACAGTCATTGCTAAGCCCGTGGTGGCAGGGCGGATGAAGGGGCCCGGGACACCATGCGGCCTGCTGCCCAGGAGCAGACATACCCCTGTGCCCCCCTGGCTGCGGCCGCTGCCAGCCTGTGCCACACCGTGGCCCTCTTGGGTTTCCACAGCCACCCTGGCAAGGCTGGTGCTCCCCACCCCCTTCTCCAGCTCATACCCTCTCCTTCCTCCACAGCCCCACTCCACAGCGCCGACCCATGTCCAGCGTGCACCCCCCAGGCCGGCCCCCAGCAGTGAGAGGCCCGACCCCGGGGCCCCCTCTGATTCCCGTGCCAGTGGGGGCAGCAGCCTCCTTCGCTGCGCCCCCCATCCCATCCAGGCCTGGACCCCAGAGCGTGTTTGCCAACAATGACCCCTTCTCGGCCCCACCTCAGATCCCGTCTCGGCCAGCTCGGATTCCACCCGGCATTCCCCCTGGAGTGCCCAGGTAAGGCTGGACCCCCGCCCCCACACTCACTGCCCACCACTAGAGCCACCAGCCCTCGCCCTAAGGCCTCTCATTGAATCAAGGAGCTCTCCTTGTGCCTTGTGGAAAATAGAGCCTTCATACCCCTTTGGCTGGTGTGAAAACTAAGGCCCAGAGAGCCCAGCTTGCTTGCCCAAAGTCACAGAGCAATGGAGAGTCAGGCTGACTCCCAGGTTCCCAGGCCTGGCCTCTACCTCAGTGGGTGGCCCACCATGCAGATTTGGACTCTGCGCCTGGGGCCCCTTCTCCTGGTTTTCAGCTTTGTTTCCTTACTGAGGACACACATATGAGCTGTCGCACACCCCTCCTTGCCTCACCCCACCCAGCAGACCAGGCTGTGTTCTCCACAGTTCTCCCGTGAGGAACCCGAAGTGCGGGGTGGGCGGGGACTCACCCAGAGTCACACGCAAGCTCCTTCGTGTCTAGCAGCATTCAGAGCATCGGGCACCGTTGGGGGAGTAGGGGCCTGGGTCCCCTCCCTCGTCCTACTTATGGCCTCACTGCCATCTCCCCCTCTCCCCTCCCCGTCTGTCTTTATTCTCTTTGCAGTAGAAGACCCCCCGCTGCGCCCAGCCGGCCCACCATTATCCGCCCAGCCGAGCCATCCTTGCTCGACTAGGCCACGGGGGGCGTGTTTTCAGGGGGTCTTCGCGCACCCACCCCCACCATGCGGGAGCTTCGGTGGTCCGGGCCCCTCCGCTGTCCCTGGCCCTGTCATCCATATGCCAGGACCAGGCTCCCTGTGGGCAGCCCCCTGACTCCTCCTTAACCTTGGCCCCCATCCCCAGCTGGACACAGCACTGAAGAAGGAGCCCTGGAGCCCTGAGGCAGGGGCGGGAGCTGGGCCGTTGCACTTTGGGGGATGGAGCCGCAGGGTAGCAGGGGAGGGAATGCTCTGGGCACCATCTTAAATGAGCATCCAGGCCCCGGGGCCAGGGGGGGTCTCACCCCGGACTTCTCTGGCCAGGAAAGCCTGAGAACAGGCCTTTTGGAAACTGGGGCAGCAAGAGTGCCTGTCCCCCGCAGCTCTTCCGGGGGCCCAAGGAGCATGTCCGTTTCTCAGCAGCAGGAGCTCCAGGCAGCGAGCCAGGCCCAGCAGGCCCTGTGCTGCCCACCCTGCAAGTTGTAAATATTCCTTCCGTGGCCGTATTAATCACACGGCCGAGCCTCGGCTGCCGGAGGTGCCTTCGCTGGGGCTGGAAGCCTCCGTCCTGCCGGCCTCGCTCTCTCCTCCCTGGATCCCCTCCTCCTCCTAGGTCCCCGGGGTGGCTTGGGCTCAGGGCTGAGTGAGTGGGGAGGCTTGGAGGGGCTCCTGGCTCCCACCCAGGCCTCCCCGACGGGGTGGGCCTCCGGCGGCCCATCGCAGAGCAGCCCTTGCTCTCTCCTCGCACGGTTTGACCACTGTAAGTGCCTGCACTCTGTATCCTATTAATAAACTAAAATAAAGGGAAGAAGCTTCTGGTGGCTGCTGTGTGGGCCTTTTGTGTTGGCGTTCAGGCTGAGGACGTGGGCTGCTCAACCTTCCCCAGGCAGGCCTCTGACAAGGACCACCCCCCTCCACCCCGCCACCATGGGCGTGCTCCTACCTTGCTCCTACCTTGCTCCCACCTTGCTCCCACCTTGCTCCCGGGGCGAGTTCACTTGTTCCAGAGGCAAGCGTGCTTTAGAGGGAAAATCTCTTGGTTTTCAGAACACATCAGGCATGGGGACAAACGTTCACCGCTCCCCCTCCACACATACTAACCCAGGGGCCTGGCTGCAGCCCCTGACACAGGCCTGTGGTGGGCAGCAGAATCACGCAGGAGAGAGGGAATCCCAGCCCTCTGCCCCCGACGGCCGTGGTCAGGGCCCCCTCCCCACCACTGCAGTCCTGAGGACTCCACCCGGGTCCAAGGCCTTCTGGCTCAGCCCAGGTCACAGTTAAACTTTGCTTTCTGATTTTTCTCTTGTGCCCAGGCGACCACCTCCATCGGCTCCCGCCCGGCCTTTCTTCTGAGCTTCGTGGGAGACCCCTCCCGCCTGCCTGGTTTGCCCCCTTGGGGGCAGATCTGTCCCGGCTGGTGTCCCTGAGCCCCAGTCACCAGGCTCTGTGATTTTCTGACCATAATTTATTGACTCCAGTGCCCAGGCCAGACCACTCTTTGTTCTGTGAAGCTCCTGTGCAAAAGCTTTGCCTGGGCCACCCCTCAGCCCTGCCTGGGGCCTCTGCAGAGAGAGCAGGAGGGGCAGGTGGCCATGCAGCCCCCCCCACTCCTGGAGTTCTGGTACGAGACCCCACAGCAAGCCCACCCGGCGCTGGGCTGAGGGGCTGGGCTCCTTCCTCTCAATAAAGTGACTCTCCTGGCAAGAACACTGTAGCTGTGTCTCCTTCCCGGCCTCTGGCATCAGCAGGCCGGCCCCCGCCCAGGAGCTGCCCCCAGCAGCAGCAACAGGCCTCTGGTAGGGCGACAGGGAGACAGAGGAATGTGTGGGGTCCCACAAGCAGCAAGCCCCCTCCCGCCGTCTCCTGCCTCAGAAGGCCAGGAGGGAAGGGAAGGGCAAGCTTGCTTCCTGGCCCCCATCCCACACCGAGCTGTGCCAGTGCAGGCTGGGCCTCGGGCTAAGGCACACGCATTACCGGAGGGGACACAGAAAGGGGCCAGAAGATCCAAGGGTCGCGTTCAAATGCTGCAGTGCCGTCCCCTCCATGCATAATTCCCAGGAAAGCAGGTGCAGCCACTGAGCTGTCCCTCCTGGAGGGCCCAGGCCTGTCAGCCAAGCCAACAAGGGTTTCTCGCCTGGCTCCTGGCAGGGAAGAGACACACGAGGGCCACACCTCGGGCTCTGACTGCGTGGCCTTCCCTCCCATAGGAAGCAGTTGGGGGAACGGACCCCAGATCTCACACACATGTGCCCTGCTGCCCCTCCTTTCCCTGTTCTTCCTTCTGGGGCTACGTGGGCACAGGGCGCTTGTCCTGGAAGAAGCGCTTGAGCGTGCAGACCTGGAGCACAGCCACCAGCAGCAGCACGGCCACGTTCACCGCGGACCAGAAGTTGACCCGCTCCAGGTTGCCCTCCTGCAGGTTGCGGTCACGTGCCTCAAAGGCCCGCAGGAGCGTCAGCATCTGGATGCTACGCTCCAACCGGGTCTTCATGGTTTCGATGGACTCCTGTGGAACAGAGAGAGGGGCAGGGTCAGGCCTCTGCCCTTTGGGGAGCAGGGACCAAGAAAACTGGGGTGATGGGGTGAGCCTATGTTTCAGGAGGAGAGAGCTGAGAGGAGACTCTTGTGGCCAGGCTGCCTGAGTCTAAATCCTCTCTCTGTGGTGACTGGCTGTGTGACCTTGAGCAAATTAATTAGCCTCTCCAGGCCTCCTTTTCCTCCGAATTGCAGTGAGAATTGAATGCCTAAATAAGTATTAAAAAAACGGACTTACTAGTGGTTAACAGCACAGTTGCTAAAGCCAGACTGCCTGAGTTCGAATGCAGCTCTGCCAGTTGCTGTGTGGCTTTAGGAAAGTTATTTAGCCATCCTGTGCCTCAGTTAAAATGGGGCATTAGAAGCACATTTCCTACCTCATATGGAGATTTCGTGAGTTATTTAAGCTCTTAAATTCCTATATCTAGAAATGCACTATTATTTTAACTGTGAGTGGCTACTGTTCTAATTAAGGTGGAGGCACCCCGGGGGGTTTGGGTCAGGCAGATGCAGACCCCAGCCAAGGTGGGAGAGTAGGGGAGCACTGTTGCCCCAAGCCAGAGATCTGGGACAAGTGGCCCCGGCTCAGCCTGGGCGCACCTTGATGTCCTCCATCTTGACATCCAGCATCTCTTCAGGTTCCACAGCCTCCGCCCAGCCCTCGACCTCCTCGTCATCCTGCAGGCTGTCAAAGATGAGTTCGAAGAACACCAGCTTCTCAGAAATTGTGCTGAAGGAGTTGTCAAAGCACAGCTTGTAGTCCCCAGCCTCCGTGGGCTCCACCCTGGGAGAAAGACACAGACGCACATGACCCACAGTGGCCGGCTGGCCGGACTTTGAGAGGCAGGGAAGGTAGTAACCTGAGGCCACCAGGGAGGGGCAGGGCTGAAACTAAACCCAGGCAGACAGTGGGACTTGACTCACGTGTGTACCCCATCTGCCTTGCGGGACTCGCTGACCAGCAGCACGCCCTGAGGGCTCTCGAGTGTGAAATCCACGTCCAGTCCAGCACCTCCGATCACCTGGGGCGACAGGTAAGAGGGTGGAGGGCTAGGGGTAGGCCAAGGGCACCTGCCAGGGAAAGCCAGGGCTGGACCAACCCGCACAGACCCATCCAGGACCACCAGGGGCCTACCTGAGCGCGGACACCTACACCTGCAACCTGGTCCTGCCCCACCTGTCCCTCTGACCGCGCCCCTTGCCTTGGCTCAGTCTTCATTGATAGGACAGCTTTGGGTTGGGCTCTTTCATCTGGTCACGCCCCCGTCGTAAGTCCTTGATCGACGTTTACTTGGCCACACCCCAAGTGAGGTGACAGGGCCCTGCTTTCCTTAACCCAAACCCCGAGAAAGCCTCATGTTGGCCACGCCCTTTCTAGTAGCCCATCTTGGTCATGCCCACCAACTCCCCAAGTCGAGCCAACTTTTGGCCACGTCCACTCGTGAGGTTCCTAACCTGTGAGGTTCCTAACCCGTGAGGCGCGCCCTCTTATAACGGATGGCCCCGCCCCCTCCGGCCGCCTCACTCTAACCCCGCCTCCTGCCATTATTCACACCCACTCCGCTCCCACGCCCAGTCTCCACCAGGTCCTGCTCGTTCTTCCTAGCTCCGCCCCCGCGCTCTTACGCACCGGCTCCTCCCCCTCCCTCTTTCATCGCTGTCTCGCTTCAGCTGCTTGGCCACGCCCCCTCGTCCTGGCTCCGTTCGGTCGCATGCTTCCCGACTTGGGACCCTGTACCTGGTACTCGGTCTCGAGGCTTGCGTTGGCCGGCGCAGACTGGTAGAAACATTGCTTCCTCCCCGCAGGCAGCAGGAACGTGAACTCGCCGTCCTGGATCGGCGGGGGCCCTGCCCCCCCAACCCCCACCGGCGGCAGTAGTAACCAGAGAGCCAAGGCTAGGGCCGCGCTGGCCGCCATCATCCGGGTCACCCTCCGGTCTGCGGAGAGGTCGCGGTTCCTTTAAGAGCTAGCCCTGCCCCTCTGCTACTCGGTGGAGCTCATTGGCAGTCTCTTCTGCCGGTGGTATGAAGCGAACGGAGAGAAAAAGTGAAGGGCCCCCTGAGAGCTTAGCTGCCCGTATGAATGCCTGCTGTGCCTTAAAACACTCAAGCTTCTGGGGGCTTCTTTCTGAGCAGCTTCTAGCTCTAGTCTCCACGGATGGTGAGGGAAAATGATAAAAATAAGTACTATGTTTCTCAGGCAAAAGTTAAGACAGCTAAGTCGGAGGTTCCCGGGACCTTTTAAGGCACCTCCCCGCGGTTTTCCCAGAGTACGCTGCGCGCGACGACCCTTGAGCCTTCTGGCCCGGGTGGAGTGGACCTTAAATAAGGGCTGGGCTTGGACCCGTATGCTACCGTAGGGCTCACGTATAAGTTGATTCAGCTGGGGGCGAGAGGGAGACCCTTTCGTATTGATGTGGGGGTTTCGTGTTCCTTGTCCGTGGCACCAGGTTCGCCGCCTGACCCTTTACCCCCTTTGCTCCTTAGAGCCATCACTTTGTCGGTTTCCTCGTCTGTACTGGGGTGATGGGACCACCGCCCCATAGGGCGGCGGTGGGACTCGAGACGAAGCCCTGCCCGTAGCGCTCCGTTTCCTTGCGTAGAGTCCGTAGAGGGACATAGCCCAGTCTGCATCCCAAAGGTCCCAAACTCGGGGTGGGGTGGGGGAGCAGCAAGTAAATAAACAGAGTAACTGATGTGACCCAAGGTAGGGAAAATGACAGCCAGATGCTTACGAGGCAGGAGAGTGTGGGCCTGGGAGCCACAAAGCCTCAGTCAGGCCACCCACACCCACTCTACTCCTTCCACCCTTGGCTTGGAATCATCCCACCGGCCCTCCGTGTCCTCATCCCTAAGACGGTGTGATGCTCGTCTTACCTCATTGGGGTGTTGTGAAGATTGAGAGAATGCTCGTTCGGCGCTTGGCACAATATAGGCCCTCAGCATGTATTATCTGCTATTTTCCAGGCTGATCGCCCACCACTAGGCAGCCCACCATGTAACCTCTGCTCCCTCAGTCTGGCTTAGAATATTTGGAGGCGACCACCCTCTGGGAAGCTGGCAGATAAGCCAAGAAGTCACTGGAGAAATGGACTCTACTTGGTGATTCTGTCTAAACATAAGGAAGAATGTTTAGATGGAAATTTTGAGTCTTTAAAGATAGGCCCTGGAGTGGCGGGCAGTTGTTGGCAGTTACTCTTCATATACAGCTGGTGGCTGTCAGCTCTTTCCTGCTTTTGGAGAACTTGGGGAAGTCACACCACCTTGTGTCAAAGTTTATGTACAGTCACTGTTACTGTTCCTTCTCATTTCCAAAGTTTTCTGTCATTCAAACTCGCTGCTTGGACATTTTGAAAAAAAAATTTTTTTTTAATTTATTTAACAGAGACACAGCAAGAGAGGGAACACAAGCAGGGGGAGTGAGAGAGGGAGAAGCAGGCTTCCTGCTGAGCAGGGAGCCTGATATGGGGCTTGATCCCAGGACTCTGGGATCATGACCTGAGCCATAATGATTGAGCCATCCAGGTGCCCCAAGTTCTCCAAATCCTTATCCACATGTACCATTTTCTATTTATTTCTATTATGGCCATCCTAATGGTTGTGAAATAGTATCTCATTGTGGTTTTGATTTGCATTTCCCTAATGATGTTGAGCATCATTTCAGGTGCTTGTTCAGCATTTGTATTTTTTTGCTTTGTTTTGGTTGGTTTTGGGGGTGTTTTTGTTTGTTTTTTTGTGGGTGTTTTGTTTTTTTTGTTTTGTTTTGTTTTGAGAAATGTCTGTTAAGTCTTTCGCCCATTTTAAAATTGGGTTGTCTTTTGGTTGTTGAGTTATAATAGTTATTTATATATTATAGAGAGCAAGCAGAAGAAAGAAAAAAGAAACAAAAATCTTCCCTCAGATTTATTCTGGGGCACTCCCTCAGACCTGGGTCTGTAAAAAGACCTGCTTTTCCAGGTCATTTACAATTTTGCCTTAGCCTTCACTTCCTGTTTGCACTGGGTCTAGAGATAAGCCTGAGATGAAAGCTCAAGGTCTTCTCAGGTCTTTTCTGAGCACTTTTCCTGCCCTGGGCATGTATGTTGTTCGCTAAATCCCCCAGTATATATGGGTGCTTCTGAATGCCTTAATTACCAGAGAAACTCTCACCCCAGCTCTTCCTCCCAGCTTTTGGCATGTCCATTGTTGTGAAAATTAATAAGAGGAAACCTCCTTTAGCATGGAATCAGGAGGTAGAAGGGGGAGCTCTCACACCCTACCACTCATTGTCAATTGCAGACCCCACAGGAAGAGATGTACCTTGCAAACTGGTACTTTCCTACCTGACTCTACTACCACAGCAGGGGAAGAAAGGTTTTCTCCTGCTGGTAGCAGCCCAGCCAATGAGAGACTGAGACTACTCAACCAATGAAACATCACTACACTTCCAACTCCCAGTTTAATCCGATGGATTTCTTGTTCATAACAGCCTTCCGGACTCCCCCTTTCCTCTATAAAAGAGTTTTCTTCTTTGTTCTCCAGACCTCTCTGTGAATTTGCTGTGGCTTAGCTTGTTCTCAGTTGCATTTCTTTGCTATTCCTGAATAAACCCATTGTTGCTGGTAAAATCACTGGTTAGTGTTGTCCTCGATTATAATATTTTGCCCCAGGTGGCTGTGGGTTATTCCCTTTGCCTTACAGTGTTTTCCAGGAATGCGTTCTGAGTTCAACAGACAAACACCTTGAGTCAGTCCCATAGGTACCTGCCAGACATGTTAAAACAGACAAACACCATACTGCCAACCTCAGCGACCGGGTACCAGAGCCCCATACTGGGGACACAGGCTGCTGTCTTCAAGACCTCCTCCACGCTGGGAAGATGAGGGAAGGGTGGGGAAAAACACCACAGAGCTTTCTTTCCTGCCTTGTTCAAGTTTCCTTTTCATTTTGATTCAGTGTTCACTCGGTGGGCACAAACCTTTGCCTGTCTTCTAGAGTTTGGATGAACTTGATTCTGACTGTGTTTGCTCAGTTTGTCGAAGTTTCTGTTTCTTGTTTGCTTCAGTTGAAAACACTACCCCCTGTCCAAGTAGTCAAGAAATACTTACTGAGTGTCTGACACTGTGAATAAAATAGACTCTGTGTCCGCATGGAGCTGCCATTCCCGTGGAGGAGGCCAGTCATACCCGCGTTTGGAACCAAGATGATTTCAGTTAGTTGTGAGCACCGCAGAGTAAATGTTGTGTGATTGGTGGATGGCTTGGGGGGTTGGGCTTCCCTGAGGAGGAGGCATTGAATCTCAGACTTGAAGCAGAGGGGAGAGGAAGCAAATCGAGAGAACCAGGCTCTGAGGTCAGAAGGCACTCAGAGGGCTCCAGGGGCAGAAAGGAAGAGTGGCAGGAGGGGAGTGGCCAGAGAAGAGACGGAGCAGTTATACAGGCCACGTCCCGTGGAGTCCATCTTCCCTTTGCAGTGTTGGCCTGCAGTCAGCCTGGGCTTCTTACAACCACGCAGAGTTTGCCGACTGGCTTCTCGAGGCCAGGAATCCCCTGAAATTATAACCAAAAGATTCTGAGCGTGTGTGCTAGACAGTCTTTGGGTGCCCTACCTGAGCCCTTCTCCACTCCTTCCTGCCCTGCTCTGTGCCCCTGGAGGCTGATCTCTACACAGCGGGTCAACTTAGCTGCCTGCCTTTTCCTTTCACATCCAGTTGGGTCTGGTAGGAGATCCGAGGGCTGGAGGAGAGGTGGGTGCAGGTAAACATATACTCTGGCTCCCACCCTGTTGGGCTGCGTTTTTCTACCAAAGCCTGCAACTCCGGCTATCCCTAAGTTCCACAAGCTGCTCCTTCCCTAGCAACATCAGGCCTGGGCTGGTAACAGCTTCCTGATCCGGGGAGTCACATCCCTTGCTGATCTCCCTTCAGCCTGCCCATGACTCCTAGTTGTACCTCTTCTAGGCGTTATCTGTACAAAAGCTGACTGATACAGGTAAGTGTTTTTCTTTGTCTGAAGTCAAAATTCCAAGTTAAAGATTCTTGCACCAGGTTAAATGCTCCCAGCATGAAGTCCTCACATTCATCCAAGGTCTTTCACACATATTATTACGTCTACCTAGAATGTCCTCCCCTTGTCTCCTTCTCAGGGTTTTGAAGTCAGATAACACCTCCTCCCAGAAGCCCTCCTTCAACCTCCAGAAGAAGCTAGGTTAAGAGCTCCCCTCGGTGACTGCCTCCATTAGAGCACTTCACCAACTAGACTGTCATTGTCTGGCTGTCTGACCCTCTAACCGAGCTCTGAGCATCCTGAGGGCAGGAGTTTTTCTCCCTCACAGTGTCCCTGGCACTCAGCACAGTTCTGAGCCCTTTGTGGCACTCAGTAAACAGCTGGTGGAATAAATAAGCCAGGAATCTCTCTTAACTCTGTATCTTACACAGCCAGGATAGAGCGACAAAACTAGACTGAATATTTTTTGACTTTCAGGTCAGACAATCAAGAACTAGTTGTGGTTTACTGTGTGCCAACCACTGGGGTAGGCATTGGGAAACTACAGGAGGCACCACAGACCCTACCCCTGCACCCTGGAATGAAGAGAGCTGGATGATTTTGATAAACTCAAGCATGTTCTATAAATCATGATGACCTCATTTAATGGATGTTTACAGACTATTATTTGAAGCAACTGCAGAGTGTACTTTCATTTCAAGTGCATAAAGAATGTGGATCAAGATATGCTGGGCCATTAAAGTATCCCTTGGTCTCAAGGGATAGAAATTATATGGAGTGCATTCCCTGGCCACAAAGGTATTAAATTAAAAAATCACTAACAGTAAGCTCTCCAAAAAATCCCAAATGTTTGGAAATTGACACATTTCTAAATAAAGTATGAGTCCCGGAAAAAATTCACAAGGGAAATAAGAAAATATTTCTAACTTGGGCACAACAAATCAGAATGTGTAAGATGCAGTTAAAGCAGTACTTAGAGGGAAATATATAGCTTTAAATGCTTATATTGGGAGATAAATGTTTAAAATCAATGAGTTAAGCTTCCATCTTGAGAAGCTAAGAAGAGCCAATGAAACATAAGGTAAATAGAAGAAAGAAAAAATAAAGATAAGACAAAAAAACAATGAAATCCAAAGCAGAAAATAGAGAAAAATAGCAAAGCTAAAAGCTAGTACTTTGAAAAGATTAAGAAAACTGATTTACCCCCACCAAGACTATTCAAGAAAAGAGAGAAAAAACACATTACCATTGAAAGAGGGGCATCGCCACAGACCCTACAGACATTAAAAGGATAATAAGGGAATAGGAAGAATTTTTACTGATAAGCTCTACAACTTAGATGAAACAGACAAATTCTTTGAAAATACAAGCATGCTAATTTCAGGACACTGTAGTATATTTCAGCAAGGAAATTTTTCTAAGTCCAGAGGGATCTGGAAAGATTTCCCAGAAGTTATATTTAAGCTGAAACCTGAAAGAGAAGTGGAATCTTAACAGATTGATATAATTGTGTCCCAGGCAGCAGAGACAGCACGTGCAAAGGTCCTGACATTGGAATGAGCCTCATGTATCCAAATAAAAACATCCAGCATAATGGCCCTTTTTTGTTGTTTAGTGACCACATACTTAACATCCTTCCCTAGTGTAAACCTCCAGGTGGACCTGCCTGACTTGAACAGAAATGTTGAGAGAGACCAAAGCAAACCTACTGGTAAGACAGACCTTTGGAAGTTTCTGGGTTGTAAACGGGAGGCAATTTATTCTGTAAACTATATCATTCCCTCGGTTTTGGACCTACTGTTCTCTTTCACAGGGATGGTCATGCTCCCATGGCCTCACACTGGGAGCACTCACAGCTCTAGCATTACATTTTGGTATATATTATGAGTTCTTTGGATCTAATACCTGCAACTCTTAGCCCCATTCTGCAGAGCAGCAAACTGAGGCTTCAGAGGCGGCCCATGTCTTGCCAGAAGTGCAGAGGCCAAGCACTAACCCCTATGCTCTATCAACCTCTGCCCAACATGTTTCCACTTTGGAACTGGTTGGGCTGAGGTTTGTGTCTTGGGCATGGGTTTCCCAAACAGCCTCATCCCAACCAGAAATTGTCTTCTCAGGGAGGAAACACACACACACACACACACACACACACACACACACACACACACCCCTGATCATCTTAGCCATGTGTCCCTTCTCCCATCTCTGCAGAAATGTGGCCACCAAGGTGCAGCGACGTGCCAGAATCTGATGTGCGTCCGTGGAAGGGGTGGGGAGAGGGGAGAGTCCCTTTCGGCAGCTGAGTGTGTGTGTGCAACTTCCTGCCAGTGAGGAAACATTCGTTCCAATCAGCCCTGGTTCTCCTTTCCCTGCTCTGGCCCCACAGGAGGAGCTGGCGGTGAGCCGTGGGCCACGCTGGCCTCAGCCAGATTTCCCGGCCAAACTCTGGAGGAGAGATGCCCTGGACCATCCTGCTCTTTGCAGCCGGTGAGCCCAATGTCCCCCCTGCATCAGCCCCACCCCGCTCCCACCCCCCCTGCCCACCTGACCTCTGCTCTGGAGGCAGAAAGCAGCCCAGCGTTGCCTTCCCCAGGTGCTGGAGGAGGCTGAACGCTGACAGATTTGCCCCAGAGTTTTGGAAATGCCCCCAGGAGCATGGCTTTGTCTTAAGGTGCTCCTCACTACCAGCACATCAAGGCTATCAGAAATCCCACCCCGCTGGGGACAGCTGTGCCCACGCCCCATGACTCAGCCCCGCTTGGCTTCTGCAGGCTGTTACCTCTGGGGCTGGGGCAATAGGAGATTCTGCTGGGGGCCAGGGGAACCTGTGCAAAAGTCTAGAGGCCAAACAGGGAGAGGCTTGTGTAGACCTCGCCTGAGCTCTGCTCGGAAGCCTGGGGCCAGCTGAGGAGACACTGGTACCTCCTATAGGAAACTGTACCCACCAAACCCCAATTCCTCACCATGGCCTGGGAAACAGGAGAACCCCTTTTGCTCTTTGTTCCTCCCATCCTTTCCCTGGCTCATCCCCTCCAGCCACCCTGACCTCGTTGAAGACCCCACACCCCTTCCATCCTCCCAGCATTTGCCCAAGCTCTTCCCTCTGTCCGGAATACTCTCCCCTAGTTTTTCCTATGTCCCCTCTTCAGGGAAGCCCTCCATGGCCTCCCCAGCCAGTGCAGGTTTCCCATGACCCTGTCTGATGGGCTGCCCAGTGCTTCTTGTCTCCCTGAGAATGTCTGCTCCTCGGGGCAGGCATATCTATCTGTCCATCTCATTCATGTTCCATCCCCAGCACCTAATAGGACCGGGCATCAGGTGAGTGCTGTTGATGGAAGTACTAAGGCTATGATCTCATCGCTATGTAATAACCATTTCGATGATAATAAAATGACTCAAACGCAGCAACCCCCTCCCAGGTGCCTAGTCCCCGAACCCCTCAGCATAGCAATGGGATAGGGTCAACTACCTACTTGTAAAGAAAGACTGAGGCCCAGAGAGGGTCAGCCGCTTGCCCAAGGCCACAGAGCCAGGCAACTCCTCTACTCTAACCACTCAGACTGCCTCCCTTTTTCTGCATTACAGGCTCCTTGGCAGTCCCAGCACCGTCCATCCTGCTGGTGCCCCCGCACCCCAGCAGCCAGGAAGATCCCATCCACATCGCCTGCATGGCCCCTGAGGGCTTCCCGGGGGCAAATTTCACGCTCTACCGTGGTGAGCAGGTGGTCCAGCTCCTGCAGGCACCCATGGACCAGCTTGGGGTCACCTTCAACCTAAGCGGCGGTGGCAGGGAGGCTCCAGGGGGCCCATTTTACTGCCAGTATAGGGTGCTAAGTGAGGACCTGAAGCCGCAGCTGTCAGATCCCAGTGAGGTGGTCAACGTCTCCTACCCAGGTAAGACCCTCCTGCCCGCCTTCGCAGTCCACGGCTCCATTGGCTCACCGCCGAGCCTTTGCCTGTGCTGTTCCCTCTGCTTGGAAGCCTCTGTGGAAGGAGCCAGGCATCCAGCTGGCCAGGGCTCACTCACCTTTCGTTGCTGAATTCTCACAGTCATCCCACGTGACGGGTTCAGTGATGCTCCCCATTTTGCAAATAAGGAAACTGAGGCACAAGTGATGAAAGGATTTGGCCAAGTCACACAGCTAGCAGGGCAGCAGAGCTGGGATCCCATGGGCCCCAGTATCCAGGCATTAACCCTCCACACTCTGCTGCCCCGACCCCTCCTGGCCACGTACCAGTTTTGAGCACCCTCTATGCACCAGACACTGTTCTTGGACCTGCAGTTTCAGCAGCAAGTAAAATGATGTCCCTACCCTCCCCTAGCTGACATTCGGAGGGGATACAGACAGTGGAGAAGCAGGGAGGCCAGAAAATATTCAGAGTAGCCAGCAGGAGCCAAATAAAGAGGCCGGGATAAAGTACCAGGTAGAGAAGGGCGTCGTTTTAAGTACAGAGGAGAGTGGCCAGGGAAAGCCTCCAAGGGAGTGACATTTGAGCAAGACCAGCCATGTGGGGATCTATGGTGAAAGGGTCCCCAGTAGAGGCAGCCAGCTGTGCAAAGGCCCTGAGGCTGGCATGTGTCTGGAATGTTTGAGGAACACTGGGGCGCTCTCTCTGTAGGGCTGAAGCATAGTAGGCAAGGAGAGAAGTTGGGGGAGAAGAGGGCACGGAAGGGGCAAGGAGGATCGTGCAGGGCCTTTGGCTGCATCAGGGACTTTGTTTCTTTGTTGAAGCGAGACAGAAGGCCTGGAAGACCAATATTTTCCTGTGGTCTTTTCAGGACAGGAGGCTGGGTGTGGGCTCTGGATCAAGGAGCAGGAGGGAGGGAGGAGGAGTCTCCAGGTAGAGCCTCTGCTTCACCATCCATCAGAACTTTCCAGCGGCAAAGAGAACTTTGTTACCCGCAGAAGCCCCACTTAAAGAGAATGTTGTTGCTCACAGAAGCCCCAGAGCCTTGCAATGACAAAACAGTCTGTGTCTTTGAGCTCCACCGTCAAAGGCCCCCTTCAATCACCTTGAGTTTGTGGTCTCAGAGTGGGGAGGGGACAACAGCCCTCCTGCCCCAGACGAATGAATGAACAAGGGCTAACAGTGTGAGAATATCAAGTATATGTCTGTTCCTTCCCCTTCCTGGCTTAGCTCCTGGTCTCCATAGGGATTGGGTCATCTCCTATCTTTCCTGAGAGATCCCCTCTCTTCAGGGAGGGGAAGTCAAATCCCTTGCAGAAAAGTAAACTGTGAAGCTGGAGCTTCATGCTTTTGTGGCTGACCTCTGCATGGATTTCAGGGTCCACCATGGGGCTGGGGATGGATGTCATCTGACACCCCTGGTATCAGGCTGAAGCCAGCAGGACTCTCAGGCTGCCAGTAACTGGAAACTTGACTCAAACTGGCTTCAGCAACAAAAGAGAATGTGTTGGTTTGCCAAACTGAAGTCAGTTTGCAGCATTGACTTTAGGCATGGCTGGATCCAGGTGCTCAAAGAAGTTAAGTATCATTTGCCAGCTCTCAACTCTGCTTTTTTGTGTCTTATTCTCAGGCAAGAACCCCTCTTCTTGGTGTCAAAATTGTGCCTAGCAGCTTTAGATATATATCCTACCAGCATTGTAACGCTGGCCGGAGGAGTAACCCTCTCTTCCTGGTAGTGGAGCCAAGACTCAGAATCAGCTCTCATTACCTCTGCTTTGCCCACATGCCCATCCCTGAACCAATCACCGCGACTGGGGGGTGGGGGATATGCTAACTGACCAGTCATAAGACTTGCAAGATTCCCAGGGTCCAGCTACACCCAAGTCAAATGGTTGGGCAGTATGGGGGGGGGGGGCTGGCTCCCCAAAGGTAATCTGGAGGAATGACAGGTGTCCCACCTTCACCCTGCACCCCACAACTTCATAACCTGTCCCCCCTCTTTTTCTCATGTTCCTCTAGTGCCCACTTGGATACTGGCACTCTCCTTGAGCCTGGCTGGAGCCCTCCTTCTCCTTGCTGGGCTGGTGGCCATTGCCGTGGTGGTCAGGAAAGGTAACAGCAGGCAGAGATGGCGTACCCCAGAGGCTGCCCGATGTGCAACTGCTGGGATGTGTAAATGAGCCCCCAATCACACCCATTTTTTAGGAGCATGGAGGCACACAGCTAGGGAGGTCTTACTCCAAAACTTGCAGTAAAGAAACTTCCAGAAGTGCAGTGTTGGTTGTGGGGCGGGGGAAGTTGACATATATTTTTAAATTATAAAATATATATAACACAAAGTTTCACATTTCAACCCTTAATTTTTTTTTTTTTTAAAGATTTTATTTATTTATTTGACAGACAGAGATCACAAGTAGGCAGAGAAGCAGGCAGAGAGAAGGGGAAGCAGGCTCCCTGCTGAGCAGAGAGCCCGATGCGGGACTCGATCCCAGGACCCCGAGATCATGACCCGAGCCGAAGGCAGAGGCTTAACCCACTGAGCCACCCAGGCGTCCCTCAACCCTTAATTTTTAAGTGTCCAGTTCGGCAGCATTGAGTACGTTTAATTCGTTACGCAACCATCACCACTGTCCATCTCCAGAACATTGTCATCTGCCCCAACTGAAACTCTGTCCCCTTTATTTTTTCTTTTTTAAAGATTTTATTTATTTATTTGACAGACAGAGATCACAAGTAGGCGGGGAGGCAGGCAGAGAGAGAGGAGGAAGCAGGCTCCCTGCTGAGCAGAGAGCCCAACTCGGGCTCGATCCCAGGACGCTGAGATCATAACCTGAGCCAAAGGCAGAGGCTTTAACCTGCTGAGCCACCCAGGTGCCCCCTCTGTCCCTTTTAAGCACTGACTCACCATTCCTCCTCCCCCAGCTCCTGTCAATCACTGCAACTGACAATAAACAAAACCAAGCCAAGCAGTAGTAGGGGGCACCTGGCTGACTCAGTAGGCAGAGCCTGCAGCTCTTGATCTCGGGGTTGTGAGTTCGAGTCCCATGTTGGGTATGAAAATTACTTAAAATAAAATCTTTAACAAAAAAAAAATTTTTTTACATGCTTGTTTGAAGCTTTTACCAATACACATTACTCAGGTAATTGGGCGGTGGGGAGGGTTTTGCAGTAGCTCTCCTGTGAGTGGCACGTTTGCCGGAGGAGAAGGCAAGGTTGGGTCACAAATGTATGAGGGAGACTTTGGAGACTTTTTTTTTTTTTTATAGATTTTATTTATTTATTTGACACAGAGAGAGAGAGATCACAAGTAGGCAGAGATGCAGGAAGAGAGAGGGGGAAGCAGGCTCCCTGCTGAGCAGAGAGCCCTATGCAGGGCTCGATCCCAGAACTCTGAGATCATGACCTGAGCCAAAGGCTCAACCCACTGAGCCACCCAGGTGCCCCTGGAGTCTTGTTTGTTTTGTTTTTGCAACTAGAAGGCAACCACGACTAAAATCTAATAAATGTTTATTTATTTGTTTTGTTCCCAGTTAAAGTAAAAAAATTGCAGGAGAAAAGGTGAGACCATCTCTGGAGATCCTCAAAGGGTGCTTTGGTGGAAAGAAATACCAGATGGTTGGTGGGTACAGGGTAGAAGTTCCTGATGGGTGTTAAGGACTCAGACCTGGCCAGGTTCTGGGGACAGAGGGCACTTCCGGTGCTTGGTGCAGGGGTAGGTGTCTCCATTCCAAACAGCGCCCTCTCGTGGGAGGGCTGCTTAAGAGGAACAGGGGTCAATTATAAAGCACCTAGGGTGTGCCGAGCACTGTGCTAGGAGCGGCCGCTTGAGTCCACAGCTGCTCACAGCTACTGCGGGAGCTGGCCTTTATAAGTAGTCCCATTTTATAGATAAGGAGACTGAGGCTCAACTTAGCCACGCAGGGAGCAAGTGGCTGAGTCGTGCTCACATCCCTTAACCACTGACTGCCCCAAATGGTTGTAATACTCTATAGGAAGTCAGAGTTGGGAGAGGCGAGTGGCACCCTCTGGGGCTGTGCGGTGCCCAACTTGTAGCCTGTAGGCAGTGGCTCCAGCCTCAGATTCTTCCCTGAGAGAGGGCTGGAGCCCCCGCTGCCTGGTGGCATAGAGCTAGCAGCAGCCCCAGGGATCGAATCCCGACTTCACCAGGCGATGTGGCTCCTGGAAGAGAACTTCTTTCTGAGGGGACTCGGGGGAGGATGCAAAGAAAGGTGGGGAGTGAAGGCCAAGTTTGGAGCCAGGGCTTCCTGGAACAACCCTCCGGCCTGAGAGGAGCGTGTCATCACTCTCCCAAATCCCTTTGCAGACAGCGAGAATCCTGCTGGGTTCAGATCAACTTCGCCACCACAGGTATGTACCTTGTTACTCTGATCCCCTGCCAGGGCAGGCTCACCCCCTCAAAAATGCTAGCGGGTCTCCTAACTTGCTACTGAGCCTCTTCTGCAGCCGCTCACTTCCCTTAGGGTCAAGGACACACCCTCCCCTCCCCCCAGGGCCAGGTTTCACCTCTCACCTTCTCTCTCCGCCTCATCCTCGGGCCCTTCAGTCACCCTGACCTCTGCCTACAACATTCTTCCTCCCTCTGGTCTTGGTCTAGAGGCCGCCTTCTCCGGGAAGCCTTCCCGGACTCTGTAGACCGGGGGGTGTGTTTATATTTCCCTGCCTTCAGCACCCTATCATTCTTCTTACCCCTCGCGAGAAAAACACAAGTGTGTATGTAACACTTGCTTCCAGTGCCGGGCCCTCAGTTCCACGGGGGACAGACTGCCTGGCCCTGTCCTTAAGTGGTGCCCCGTTTGTGATCCAGAACGTGTCATCCTGAAGGCTTCCACCAGGGGGCGGGGGGCGCTCAGGAAGGGGCCCCAAGCAGAGAAATTCTATCCTCTGTACTTTCACTGTTCCACACTTTTTTTTTTAATTTAAAAAATATTATTTATTTATTTATTTGAGAGAGAGAGAGCACAAGCAGGGGGAGCAGCAGCAGAGGGAGAAGCAGCCCCCCTCCCCTGAGCAAGGAGTCCTACTCGGGCTTGATCCCAGGATGCTAGGATCATGACCTGAGCGGAAGGTAGAGGCTTAACCGATTGAGTCACCCAGGAGCTCCCACGGGTCCATACTTTTACTGAGAATCTACTATGTGCTAACGTTTGGGGGGTCTCCCTCAATGACCAAGACAGGTGCTCACAAGCCCATCCTGCAGTGGGGAAACAGCCCATGGCCAGCGGGACCCTGTTTGGGGCCAGGAGGGCAGTCCTGGGAGGAAGTGGTGTTTAAGCAGAGATGCAGTAGGCGGGCGTGGGGGGATGGAGGCGGGTGGAGAGCAGACAATGGAAGGAGAGCCTGGGGCGGTGGATGAGCTGAGAGAAGTTCTGGAAAGTGGGAGCAGAGAGGAGAAACCCATTTATCAGAGGGCCACAAGAGGCCCCTGGGGGAGGGCTCTGAGGAGAAAAAGGACACAGTTCAGTTTACAGCTGGGAATGGTTCACTTTGCAAAATGGGCTGGAAGGGAGCAAAGCATGCTGGGAGATGGATCCCCAGCCCTTCCTCACAGTTGACTTGAGGCCTGTGGCTCTGAGGGGAGGGCCCCCGGAGGGCAGTGAGCAGGGATTTTATACTGGCACTGGGCTTTCCTTTCTCTTTCTATTTCAGATATGACCTTTGATAACTCTCTGTTTGCCATCTCCATGGTAAGTCATTGCATTTCTTGGTCCTGGGTTTCTGTGGACTGTCTTAACCTCTGGAAGACCACCATCAGGCTGGGCTGACCTGATATCTCTGAGCTTGGGGTGGGGGGGTGGTGGTGGCTGGGAAAAGCCCAGAATCCCTGAGCAGGGATTTGTTTGTGAGCTGAGAGTTGGCTCTGGAAAATCCCAAGGGATGGGAGGCAGCCACGTCCAGGCCGTCGGATGCCCCTAGGCAGGATTCCCGGGCCGCCTTTGCACACCATGGGGCCAACCCTACAGAATGGTGACAGGGGACTCAGGGTGAGCAGATGGGGTCACGTGCCTTTTTTTTTTTTTTTAAGATTTATTTATTTATTTGACAGATAGAGATCACAAGTAGGCAGAGAGGCAGGCAGAGAGAGAGGAGGAAGCAGGCTCCCCGCTGAGCAGAGAGCCGGATGCGGATGCGTGGCTTGATGCGTGGCTTGATGCCGGGCTCGATGCCGGGCTCGATGCCGGGCTCGATGCCGGGCTCGATCCCAGGATTCTGCGATCGTGACCTGAGCCGAAGGCAGAGGCTTTAACCCACTGAGCCACCTAGGCGCCCCAAGGGTGACTTGCTTTTTAACAGTCTGATGCACACTGTAGTCCCCTCCTGGTAAAGAAAAGCCTGTATTTATGTTCAGTTTCAGGGATTTCAGCTTAAATCTCCAAGCTGAGCGTTTCTCTTACAGGTGGGGAAGGTCTCTTTGTAATCTGCCCCTTTGCAAGTGGGCACTTTGGGACTGCAGTCAGGGAGCCTGGGTGGGGAGTTGGTGTGCCAAGAGTACCATAATGGGAGAGGGTTGGGTTGGTTCAACACACCCTTCCTGGGTGTTGGGACAAAAACAGGACAAAGCCTTTAATTCTTCAGAGCTTTCTAATTTCTCCCGGGGGGGGGGGTGGCGGGGAGACAGACGATGCCACAGGAGTGGGAGGGAAGCTCACTTCTCCCTTAGATGGGAGATCCAGGAAGTCTCAGAGATGGCTAACAGGCAGGGGGGTAGCTACGGAAGATGGCCCCAGGCTCGGGACACGTTCTTGGCACCGTCCAGGATAACTGGAGTGGAGCCGAATGGAGAGTCGAGGGGAGCCTCGCGGAGAACTTTGTTGCCCCGATGTGATGGGAGCCATGGAGCGTTCCCGGGCGGGGAAGCGGGGGCGGGGGAGAGGTGACCGATTCAGGTGCTCACCCGCGCCCTCTGGCGGCTGCGGGGAGGACAGACTTGGGGGGCGTGGGCCGACCAGAATGTGTCATTCGGGGGGGTGGGGGGTGGTTACCAGCACCGAGGCGACCGTGCTGGTCCAGGCGAGCTAAGTGGTAGGTGCTTTGGTCCAGCGTGTCGGCAGCGGAGGTGGAAGAAGGGAACGGATGCTGGTCATATCGATTCAGGAGACAGCAAACACGGCGGATGATGGACGGAGGGAGAGGGCGGAGGGAGGCGGCTTGGAGTCCCGGGGAGCCGCGGGCGTGGAGGGACCAGAGACGCGCCCCCTTACCCGGCGACGCCCAAGGGCGGGTGCAGAAGCGATACTGGGGTTCCGGAGAGAGGAGCAAGGGAATTTAAACTGTGTATGAATGTGGGAAGGAAGGGGCTTGGCCCCGTTGGCCAGTTCAGCCCTGTGAGGTCTCAGTTCCGGGACAAATCCTATGGTGTTAAGAAAAAACAAAAAACGAAAAACAAAAAACAAAACCCTCCCCCCGCCCAAAATCCAGCACGCAGGGCAAATTCTAAAACTTTCTGTGAGAAGACGTGCTGTCAAGGCACCAGGACTCCAGGGATTTTTCTTTTTTCCTTTTTTTTTTTTTTTTTAAAGGAAAATGAAACAAGTGGAAACAGAGACTGGGAGAAAAATTTAAAAAGTATCTTAGTCCTTGTGACTATATATGTATATTTTTTTAAATTAAAAAACTTGGGGGAGGGGAACACCTGGATGGCTCAGTGGATAGAGCATGTGACTCTTAATCTCAGAGTGGTGAGTTCAAGCCCCATGTTGGACAAAGAGCCTACTTTTTTTTATTTTAAAGATTTATTTATTTATTTATTTGACAGAGAGAGAGAGACCACTAGTAGGCAGAGAGGAAGGCAGAGAAATAGGGGAAGCAGACTCCCCGCTGAGCAGAGAGCCCGATTAGGGCTTGATCCCAGGACCCTGAGATCATGACCCCAGCTGAAGGCAGAGGCTCAACCCACTGAGCCACCCAGGCGCCCCCAGAGCCTACTTTAAAAATTTTTTTTTCATATGAAATACATCCATATATCAAAATTATATATCCAGTAAAGCATCCTTCTGTCAGTAACCCCTGTCCACTCCGTGGTCTCCCCCTCCACATGCAGACAGCCACCACCATTAGGAGCTTCTTGGAAATGCAAGCAAAAGTGAAAAGAGAGGGTGTTTATCCTCATGCTTTCAACATAAATGATAGCATTTTAACCACACTACCATGCTTCCTTTCCTTCATGGAAAATTCTAGTGAGATCTTTTCTAGGTATTCTTTATTTTTTTTTTCATTACGGTAAAATATACGTAACATAAAATTGACCATTTTAGCCATTTTATTTTTTTTATTTTTTATTTTTTTTAATTAATTAATTTATTTTTTATTTTTTATAAACATGTATTTTTATCCCCAGGGGTATAGGTCTGTGAATCGCCTGGTTTACACACTTCACAGCACTCACCATAGCACAAACCTTACCCAATGTCCATAACCCCACCCCCCTTTTCCCAACACCCCTCCTCCCAGCAACCCTCAGTTTGTTTTGTGAGATTAAGAGTCACTTATGGTTTGTCTCCCTCCCAATCCCATCTTGTCATTTTAGCCATTTTAAAAAATGATTTTATTTATTTATTTGACAGACAGGGAGAGAGGGAATACACGCAAGGGGAGTGGGAGAGGGAGAAGCAGGCTTCCCGCTGAGCAGGGAGCCGGATGCGGGACTTGATCCCAGGACCCTGGGATTATGACATGAACTGAAGGCAGACGCTTAAGGACTAAGCCACCCAGGAGCTCCTTTAGCCATTTTTAAGGTCCAGTTCAGTGGCATTAAGTGCATTCACCTTGTGCAACCATCACCGCCATCGATCTCCAGAACTCTGTCCTGCAAAAATGGAACTGTCCCCACTGTATACTAACTTCTCATTCTTAACCAACCCGAGCCCCTGGCATCTACCATGCTCCTTTCTCTCTCTGCGGATTTGCGTATTCTGGACATTTTATGTAGAAATGATGCCATATAATGTTCATCCTTTTGTGTCTGGTGTTTTACAAAAAAGATTTTATTTATTTGAGAGAGAGCGAGAGAGCACACACACAGCATGGGGGAGGGGCAAAGGAAGAGGCAGAAGCAGACTCCCCGCTGAGTTGGGGGCCCCATGCAGAGCTCCATCCCAGCACCCTGGGATCCTGAGCTGAGCCCAAGGCTGACCCTTAACTGACTGAGCCACCCAGCCACCCAGGCTTACTTCACTGAACATAATGTCTTCAAGTTCATTCATGTTGTAGCAGGTGTCAGAATTTTATTCTTGTTGAAGGCAGAATTTTGCTTTCTGTTCATTTGTTGATGCACACTTGGGTTGTTTCCGCCATTCAGCTATTATGAACAATGCTGCTATGAACATGGGTATGCAAATATCTGTCTGAGTCCCTGCTTTCAATTCTAGTTTCTTTTTGAAGCATTCGATGGCTGAAATAAAAGTGAGGCAGCTAATCGTTCTCCATCTTGTATTGTGATACCCTGATATTTGCTCTAGGATGCCCTAGGAAGTGGGGTGGACATTTTTTTTTAAATTTTAATTTTTAAATTTTGTTTATTTGAGAGAGAGAGAGCAGGGGGAGGGGCAGAGGGAGAGAGAGAGAGAATCTCGAGCAGGCTTCCCGCTGAGCAGGGAGCTCGATAGGGGCCTGGATCCTAGGACCCTGAGATCATGATCTTAACTGAAATCAAGTGTCGTACACACAACTGATGGAGACACCCAAGCACCCCAACATTTTTTTTTAATAGACAAGGACACAGAAGCTAATTATGGCCTTACTGGGATCATCCAGCTAGGGACATATGGGGCTGGGATGGAACCCCAGCCTGCTCTCACCCACTAAACTTCAGTTTTATCAAGTTCATCTCTTCTGGTTTTTTTTTTTTAAGATTTTTATTCATTTATTTATTTGTCAGAGAAAGAGAGAGAACAAGCAGGGGGAGCATCAGAGACAGAGGGAGAAGCAGGCTCCCCACTGAGCAGGGAGCCCGATGTGGGACTCGATCCCAGGACCCTGGGATCATGACCTGAGCCAAAGGTAGACGCTTAACCAACTGAGCTACCCAGGCATCCCAAGTTCATCTCTTCTTGACTGGCATTTGGGGCAGGAGCATCTATGGTAGAGGAGAGGATAGACTTTCGAGGCAGGTTTTGTGGGAGCCCAGAACAGGGCAACAAGGTGAGGGAGGGGAAGAGATAATGGTCACAGCTTTGTTCACTTAACTATTAGCGCTTGCTATGTGACAGCCACTTTATCTATTTAATTCCTCCATGTTTTGTAGCAACCCTAGGAGGGGTCTAGGAGGCTCAGAGAGGTTGTTACTCAATGGGACAAGGTGGAGGTGGGATTTGAACCCATGCTGTCTGCTTCCCTACTCAGCATGCAGATAGGCAGGAGGACAGAGGACAGGATCTGGGTCCTGAAGCTGTGGGGTGGTGTGTGGGGCTGAAATGAGACCGGATGGACTGGGTTGGGGGTATCTCAGACTCAGAATGTAGGGAGACCCTGGATCCTGGAACCTCAAATCACCCTGTTCTCTGTTTTTCCTCCATGGACAAAGAAAATGAATCCAGAAGAAGATGCAACCACTCTAGATGCGTGCTCAGGCTCCACCGAGACACCTGGCAGCTCTGGGCCCCGGAAAAGGCCCACCTCCACATCATCCTCGCCTGAGCCCCCCGAATTCAGCACTTTCCGGGCCTGCCAGTGAGGCTGAGGACCGGGCGCCCCTCCGTGTCTGTGTGTTCTCCATTCAGCCGCTTCTCGCAAGGGCCTGATGTCCCTCCAGCTACTCTGGGATTTCCGGCTGCTGTTTTCTCAGGGAATTGACAGGCGGCAAAGGGAATTCTTGGCTTTGGGACCCTCCTCACAGAGAAGCAGGAGTAGCAGAGGGGGCACAGACATTGCCCTGGAGTCTGGACAGAAAGCAGGAAGACTCTTTGTGGGTTCCCAGCTTCTCAGACCACGTGAGGAGATGTTAGGATCCCTGTGGCCCCCAGCTGGGCCATAAGCGGTCTGGGCCCTCCACACACCCCTCCGATTTCCTCCTCCCCTCGCCACATCTGACTTGACCAACCCAACCGGGTTTTTGGAACATAGGGTACCTGGGGTATGTTCTGTTAGTCTGTCCTGCTGGGATGCCTAAGTTATTAAAACACGTGTTGGTTGAGCAGTTCCCGAGGTCTCTATGGAGTGTAATCCTTCGAGCCCAGAATCTCTGGGGTCTAATCACCGGATGCCTAGTACCCCTCAGATGCATGCAGTCAAGGTGGTATATGGGAAAGCTCGTGGGGGTACGGGGGGGGGGGACACTGTCACACGGGGTCTTTGCTAAAGTCCTTGCATTGGTGAGTGAGATGATGGAGGTCCAGAGAAGAGTAGGAACTAGAGAAGGTGGAAAGACGTCACAATCTTTTTTGGACCCTCTAGAAGAGAATGACGCCCTCAAGCAGTGACAGACGGACTTGGAAGATAGGGGTGTGTGTGTGTGTGTGTGTGTGTGTGCGTGCGCGCGCGCTCCTGTAGAAGGCTGCACTTGACCCTGCTCTGCAAGATTCACTGGCCAGTCATCGGTGGGGGGGAAGAAAGGGGCTAAGGGAGGGGCCTAGAGAGAGGGATCCTAGAATTTTTTGTAGGGGAATAGATGGCCAAGGATGGAGGAGGAGGGCAATGGGGGAAGGGGGCGGAGACGATGGCGAAGAGATAAGGAGCGGCTGAATGCTGGGTGGGGGGGCCTTCCCACGATTCAGGTCCAGGACAGAGACTGAGTGTCTCCCCAAACTGATTTTCCCTTCTGGAGGGCTGGAGTGGGGCCACACGCTGGGGGCGTGTCCCGGGATCTGGCCCCGCCCCTCGCGCAGGCCCTCCCGGAGAGCCCGGCGCCTCACAAAGCGACATCCAGTGGGAGGGAGCCGGGCTGGTACAGGGGCGGAGCCTCATCGTAGCTGGACCCCGCCCCCCGCGTGTCTCCTCACAAAGCCGGGCAGGGCCAAGGGGCGGAGCTCACCCGCAGAGGTGTGTCGGAGTCTTCGGACGTCAGACCCGCCTCCACCTTTCCGGGCAGGGCGGCCGCCTCACAAAGCGCGACCGTTTGCGCGGGGCGTGGCCCAGGGCGTGTCCACGCGGCCGAGCACCTCCCCCTAGGGCGCGCCCCTGTCCCCGCCCTCCCCGCGTCTCCGCTCCAGCACCGCGGTACAAAGCGCGGCCTTTCGAGCCTCGCCCGCCCGGGGGCGGGGCCCAGGCCTAGGGGCGTGTCCGCGAGACGGAGCACCGCCCCCCGGCTCACGCTCCGCCCCCGCCGTTCCTGGGCCGCGGAGCCACCTCACAAAGCCGCGACCGTTCGCGCGGGGCGGGGCGGGGCGGGGCGGCTGCGTCCCCAGGCACCCTCCCTCCCGGTGCCCTAGGCGGCCAGCAGGGGGCGCTGCGCCACGGGGCCGGACCTCGGCGGCAGTGGCGGCGAGGCGGAGCGTGGCCGGCAGGCGGCGCTGCCTGACTCGGCCTTGGCCTCGGCCTGCGCGTCGGCAGCGGCGGCGGCGGCAGCGGCGGCGGCCTGGGCCCGGGCGCGGCGGCGGCGGCGGCGGCGGTGGCGGCGGCGGCGGTGGGGCCTGGAGCCGGATCTAAGATGGCAGCGGCGGCGGCTGCGGCGGGGCCGGGCGCGGGCGGCGCAGGGGCGGCGGTCCCGGGCGGCGCGGGGCCCTGCGCGGCGGTGTCCGTGTTCCCCGGCGCCCGCCTCCTCACCATCGGCGACGCGAACGGCGAGATCCAGCGGCACGCGGAGCAGCAGGCGCTGCGCCTCGAGGTGCGCGCCGGCCCGGACGCGGCGGGCATCGCCCTCTACAGCCGTGAGTGCGGGGCCCCGGGGCCGGGCCGAGCGCGGGGGCTGCCCACGAGGCGAGTCAGGCGGGGGACCAGAGGCGGGAGGGACGCGGCCGCAGCTAGGGGCCCGGGGCCCCGAGGGCGAGGGGCCCTGAGCGGTGGGGGCCTGGTATGGGGTCCGTGGCGCCGGGCCGAGGTAGCTGGGAGTGGGGGGCCCCCGAGTGAGGGCAGTGGAGGAACGATGTCAAGGGGCAGAGAGAAAAGAGGGCGTGCGTGGTGGCCAGAGGTGAGGTGCCCGGAGTACGGTGGGAAGCGGGAAATGGGGGAGTGAGGGCCCTGAGATTGGGAGGGGGCAGGCAGGAAGTGGGGGGCCGAGCGGGGAAGGTGAATTCGTAGCCGGCCGGGGGTGTGGGGGCTGGGTGGGAGGAAAGGGGGCCTGGGGTATGGGAGAGGTGGGGGTCCCCGGGGGCGGGTGTGGCTGCCCTAGGAGAGGGATGGAGGGGGTGGGGGTAGCCTTTGGCCATCTCTCGGGACTCCCACGACTGCTGAGGACAGTTGGAAAGTGGTGCCCGGCCTGGGGCGGCCTGGAGGACCTGGTTCCACCCATCGGGAGCGTTTTTGGCGTTCTGGACCTCCGTGTGGGAAACTTCTAGACCCGGAGAGAGGGCCCATGCCAGGGTGGTGCGAGCCGCTAGATGTGCTCCTGGTGGAAACGTGGAAGGGTAGGGCTCCTTCTTGATGTCCGGCTCTGAAGTAAGAGGTAACACAGCCTCCGCCCTCGCCACGGTCCTCCGATCTTTCTTTTTGGGGATGTGAGAAGCTGGTTACATTTTCAGAAGCTAGTTTCAAAACTGACATTTCAGTGGGAAAAAAAAAAAAAAAAATCACAAATGTGTTTGCCAAGGCCCCCGAGTCTTTGTAGTTGATCCTTTTTCTTTCTCTGTTACTCTTTATTTATCTGTTCTGATTCCTGATTGCTTGGTCACATTTTGCTATTCTGTTTCATTCAGCTTTGTCTCAGGGCTTCTTGCACTGATGCTCTGGGAGCCACCGTGGAGGCCCTTTCCTGCCTTTGGCCTGTGTGAATTTTTTTTGCCCCTTTGGGAAGTGGGAGGGTGGGCCAAAGGAAAATATCTAGAACAGCCGGTTCACACTGGGTTCTTCCTGCACTTCTGCTTGGAAGACCCAGACTTGTGGAGTTGTGCCTACCTCCCAGGTATCTCAGCTCTTTTTGCTGGGGCAGAGCCGGGTTTTCTGGGACCAAATGAGGAGAGGGGAGAAGGGTATCCCAGGTGGGGGTCAGAGCTCAGGACAGGCACTTAAGCTCTATTTTATGCTCAGCAGGCTCTCCCAGGTGCTAAGCGTGGCCATTCATTTGGCAAGCATTAATAAAGAATAAAGATGGGCAGCGTTTCTCCAACTAGGATCCAGAGGCTAATCCTCAAAGCAGTTCCAAGATAGTTTTTCTTTTGTAAATAACTTCTTTTGATTTTTGGACAGTTTTTGATTTATAGAATTATTGGGGACATAGTACAGAGAGTGCTCATAATACACCACACCTGGTGTCTCCTTTTTTTTTTTTTTTTTAAGATTTGAGAGAGAGAGAGATCACTCGCGGGGGATGGGGGGTGGGGGGCTGCAGTCAGAGGGAGAAGGGAGCCTGATGCTGGACTCCAGCCAGGACTCTGGGATCATGACCTGAGCCTAAGGCAGACACTTAACTGACTGAGCAACCCAGGCGCCCCCACACTTAGTATCTCCTGTGTTTAACACCTTTCTCCAGGAGAGTTTTTACATTTTGTGTTCCTGTGTTGTGGGTAATCTCGATGTTGTTACTAGTTATAAAGATAACATTGTCTTTTAGAGGTAATTCATAACTGAGGCATTTGTGAAAGGGGGAAAGTCCTCCTTTCTCAGATTGAGATCCTGAGTCAGGGATGATATCCTCTCCGGTCTGAAAGAATGTTTCTCACCCTCGATGCTCAAGGAGCACTGACGTGGGGCCGAGAACATGGGTTCTGGCTTCAGCTGACCCTGGTTTTGTTCGTTCCCCAAGGCTGCCATGCCACATGTGATGGCTTACAACAAAAGGAATGTGTTTTCTTACAGTTTGAGGCCAGAAGTCTGAAATCAAGGTGTTGCAAGGGTCCCTACTCCTTCTAGAGGCCCTGGAGGAGAATGTCTTCTCACCTCTAACAGCTTCCTCTGGATCTTGGGCCTCGATTGGCTTTTGTTAACAGAACTCCAGTCTCTGCCTCTGTCTTCACACAGCCTCCCCACTGTGTCTCTGTGTCTTTTCTATAAGGACACCTGTGATTGGATTTAGGGCTTGCTCTAAATCCAGGAAGATTTTATCTTTGAGAGCCTTGAATACATCTGCAAAGAATACATCTTTGCAGATGTATTCTTTTTTCCAGATAAGCCACTTTCACAGGCTCAGGCTTGGGGGGTTGGGGGTTGGGGCTTGGACACACTTTCTTAGGGTCTACTACGAGGACTAGATCGGTGCCCTACTAGTATCTGTGAGTCTTTGTGCCTCAGTTTGTTTATCGGTAGAATGGGGGAAATGGCGGGACATTGTGGCATAGCGTGTGTTTGCTCAATAAGCTAATACTCTTTTGGTGGTAGCACCTGCTGCCTAAAAGGCTGGGGCTGGCGATGACCTCAGACTTGGCTGGGTCACTGCACAGGGTGAGGCAGCACCCGTCCCTGAGCAGGAGGCATGAAGAGCGGGGCGCACGGGGCGGGATCGCTGTGAAGTGTGCTGGGGGAGTGTGGAGTACCAGGGCTGAGGTGTGGGGGTGCACCATGCTCCTGGATCTGCGAGCAGGCCCAGCCCGCCGGGTGGAGAGTGCGAGCCTGCAGTCCCTTGGAGAAAGTCAGAGATGGACCAGCCACGATGGGCATGTGCGGGGATTGTGGAGGCTGGGTGGCTCAGAGGCAC